ATATTTTTCTAAATTAAAATTTGTTTGTTTGCATGGACGAGCGTTATTGCGAACCAGCGAGACGTTATAGGGCCTACCCTAACCAAAACCCCCTTGTTCATCCCTTGTTTAACTGTTTGTTTATTTCCAAAAGGAACGTAAAATTTCCCTTTAAAACTAATCCAAACTACTTTGGGTCAAATTTAACACAATCATTATTAATTACATCAAGCCACACATTTTAACGCAAACATAACAAAACAGCCTTTACAGTAACAATTACAGTAGCCCAGCCATAAATGTTGACGGTGTCATATGATTGCGACTAAATCAACAATTTAAATATTTGCTTTGAGGCCCCATCTCTCTCCGCTGAGAGAAACTTATTTTAGTGTTTCACAACGTTAAACCCAATCTTAATCTTTGAAAATTTAATAAAATAACTTTTATTTTTACATTAAAAACCTAAAATCAAAACTCAATTAGGAGCAGTGTTTCTAGCATGAATTACTACGGGTGCACCATTCTTGAAAGTACGTCTACCACCCCCCCACCCCCCCCCCCCGAACGAAATAGAATTCATATAGAAAAAAAATATTTATACCAGTGTCCACCCCCCCCCCCACCCCCCTGAAAATTTAGTCCGCCCACCCCCTAAAAGTTTCCTGCCCCCCCCCCCCCCCCACTCCCCAGGAGAAAAAAGTTTGAAAGAAAAACTGACCAAGAGTCAACGGTCTACATTGCACTAAACATGTTGACACGTAATACTTATGTGTGTTTGGAGACTAGCACGTCCAATATTTCCATTAAGAACGACGACGAAGAAGAAGAAAAAAAACCCTATTAATTGGGGGTTAAAAGTAACTTTACATAGTAAAACCTGTTTTACTCTATGGGGCCGAGACATGGAGAATAACTGCACCTCTTCTTTAGACAAGCAATAAACGTCCATCTTAACCCTAAACATGCATTGAAGGAAAAAACAAATCGCAAAATAACCTTTACCCTAACCGTAACACAATATAAAACCCAACGGTTTGGGTATGGTTATCCCAAAAGCACCCCCACCCCCTACTGTGCAGGAGGAAACGCCTTCTGGGCAGGGATCGCGCTCCCCTAGCGGCAGGGTCGGGCGTGTCGTGGGGGTGTAGCACGCCAGAGTGCCCGGATAATTAGCCCAAAGAAAATGTCAGCCCGTGGCAGCAGGAGAAGAAAAAAAAAACGCGAGAGCGAATTTCGCGGCGTGTTTCAAAATATTATTTTAGCTTTTCTAAATGTGCTAGCAGCAAAAGTAAGTTGGGGAGGAGGGGGGGGGGTTACAACTTTAGGTGAGAGGGAGGGAAGAAGGGGTTACAACTTACTTTAGGTGAGAGGGAGGTGGGGGTTACAACTTTAGAAGGGGGGTTGGAAAAGATTAGGTTGTGGAAGGTATGGAAAAGATTTCGATGGAAGGTGGAAGAAATTACATTCGTCGATTTCATCCAGGTTGAAAGGGGGAGAAAAACGTTGCGGCATTTAAAATCAATGTGGTGTCGGTTACCTCCCCTTTTAGTTACAGTTCTTGTATAAACAAGTGACCAACGATCCACGGAAGTTACCCCCCTTTCCTAATTGCTTTAATAACAACGCTAATGAACGCAATCATTCTAATTGAGCTGACCCGTTGTGTCGCTTCCCGGTCAAGAATTAACCTCCCTTTGAGTGATCAACGACTGAAAGGGGAGGTAGAAAGTGAGTAGAAAAATATGAAGGGGCGGGGGGTTAAGTCTCAAGGGGCTTTTAACACGGGGAAAGCCCTTTCCTGTTCAACCCCCGAGAGAGTCTCCAGCTTTGGCAGGTCGCGGGTACCCAAACAAGGGGAGGCCAGTCTCGATGTTTTCTTTGCGCACAATAACTGTTGTGTCAACGGGTCCGCGTCGAGTGATGCCCCCTTTTTGACAGGTCCGTGGGGCGCGGGGGGCGGCATTAGAAATTGAGCATGTCCGTGATTAACTGCCCATTTGCACGCGCACGTGCTTGGGGGTTGGGGTGTGAGTACACGCGGGAGGCGGGGGGTGGGGGAATCGTTGTTTGATTTCTGCTCACCTCAGGGATTGCTTGGCAAGCACGCATGCGTACTAGACCCTCCCAGAAATGAGGGGGGGTATTCATACGCGAAACGGGAAACCGAACGGCGATATGTTTTTTATTATTATTTTTAAGTTCAGGTAAGACACAGCGAATATCACCCTGTAACTATAAAGTTGTAGCCATGAAAGGAAAAGGGAAAAGAATATTTGACCACTCCCAGAATCTTCACCTGGCTGAAATTCCTCACCGAATTAAATCCACAACTGACTTTGAAGGGAACAAGAGAAGATAACTGTTACAATTTTTGAAAAATGCAAGGTAAAATATAGTTGGCGTGAATCTTTGAGGGTTTTGGGGGAGAGAAGGAGTCGCGGTATACAAAGAAAAAGTACGATGTTATTTGTAGACCTATTTTAGATTTTCCATTTGAATGTTCATGATGACAATTATTTGTTGAAATTTTTTTTTAAAATTGTTTTACTTAATAGAAGAACAAACTGACCCGTGTCTAGCGCTCCCGTTAAATAGTAAACAACCCGGGCTTAAGTTTAGATAAACTGACCACGCTGACCACAACACTCAGGGGCAGCCCTCAGACACTTCCGGTCATGGTTGCCATCAGCAACCCACCCCACGGTCCAGCCCGGGTCCGTACCGTGAGGTTTGTTTACCGGCCGCGTCCGTCTTGTTATTGCGACGGTGCGTCATCGGCCCTAGCTTCGTGGGTGAACGGCCTGTCACAATAGACGCAGCCCTGGCCGGCCCGACCGTGTCAGATTGTCACCTGGCTCCCATCATGGGTCAGCTTCTCACGAGATTTCACGGGACCAGACTCCAAGATGGTATAGACATGCATTTCTCACGAGATTTCACGGGACCAGACTCCAAGATTTTATAGACATGCATTTACATTTGTATAGAGGACCTGTGGCTAAATGTTTATATATTAAATCCGTTTTACACGTGTGTATTCACATTTAAAATTATATATATATATATATATATATTATATATATATATATATATATATATATATATATATATATATATATATATATATATATATACCTGAATATGTGCACGTGACAAAATTACGAATGTGAATTTGTTAACTTATTCTATATGTACGTTACTTGCACCTTAAATGTAAGGCAGCAGTCGGCAATCTGTAAAACCTTTAACGGACAGTTAGTATGGAATTAGGCAAAAATTTTTTGCTGAGAATATAAAATTGGGACAGTGAAAATTTCTATCATTGATTTTGACGCTATCTACAGTGCCTGAAGACTCAGCACTGAAATGAAATTCAGCCTAAATACTTTACAAAGAAGCTTCTCTAAACAATTATTTTTCATACTGCTGGCAGCAAATTGTTTGGGATTAGTGCATCAAACAGGCATCTCATAGGAGGAAAAAATGACCCACACCTCTCCTCTTTTCAAAGCATGTCTAAACCCCCCCCCCCCCCCGCTAGGGAAAACATGAACATGGAACGAATGCTATAACAGAAAAAAAAATTAATACAAAATTATTGATTGTTTAAAATATTTATTGTCAAAATATATAAATTTTAAGGCACAAACGTATAAAATGACATCGACCAGAATGCTTGACCAGATGGATAGACAGGCGTACAGATAAACCTACAGACCGGCGTACAGATAAACCTACAGATATCCGTACAGATAAACCTACAGATAGGCGTACAGATAAACCTACAGACCGGCGTACAGATAAACCTACAGATATCCGTAACATATAAACCTACAGACATACAAACCTCAACAAGCGAGCGGAAAACTATGTAACTGACATTTAAAACCTGGTTTAAAGCTATACCCAAGTAGTAAAACTAATCTACTTAACATAAAAAGTAGACCTCTCATATTCGGTCATCACAAAACACAGCAGATACCCATTTACAATTGACGCCCCACCTTTAAGATAACCGTTAATTAAAAATTAATTTATCAAACACTGAAATGCTTTGGATTAGAAATACTAAATTTAATTTCCGCGACATTTCTTGAGACACCCCCCCCCCCCCACCAAACTCACTGATAGAAAAATTCAAACCCTCAAACCTGCATACCTGTAAAACGCGCTTTTATATCGATTTTATAGTGGACAAACGACAGTATGTGCCAAAAAACATATTCTCGAAGAAAATGATTTCATAAATATCTTTCCCATAATTTAAAGTGCAAATTTGTTAACGTTAAAACGTTAAAAAGTATTTAATTTGTGACTTTGTGCTTAAATGCTCTGGTAGCTTAAATGATTGCCAATATAAGTATAAATGTACATTGATTTCACACAAAAATTGACATATTCCAGTTGTCTTCTATACAGTCTATAAATATTTCCTTATTGTGATTCTTATATATACCTACTTATATATCTATTTGCAGATGCACATTGGTGTATTAATTGAGATTGCAGTTATACAGCAAGGGACGTCTAGAATTTAGCACAATTTTAATTTTTTTAAATTTTTCTAATATTTATAAACTAAAGCGATACACACAATAGCATTTATTTCTGCAGCAGAAAAAACGATGTTAAAAAAAAAAAAAAAAAAAAAAACAACTTTACTAACGTAACACAATAAAAACGTGTTTATTGGACTAAAGGTTACACCAATAAAAAAAAAATCATTTTGAAAGCTTTTTTATGAAGAAGGCCAGTTTCCTTGTTTTTGGAAATGTAAAATATATGGCATATTTTAAAATAAAATTTTAAAAAATTAGGTTTACAAATTTTATTATGACGAAGAACTTAATGCGAATCCATCTCTTTTAGACGAATTTTCTAACAAAAAATCAGAAAGCATACCGATTAAAAATATTTCTTAATGCTATTTTTCATTAATTTCCTTTAATGTAAATCTAATTTTAACTTCTGAAAAAATACTAAAACAGAACAGTTTCAAATCTTTAAAAAATATATATATACAAAACAATGCGGTAACTAACTATAAAGTAACGCAACATTTAATAACATTTACAAAGATATTACTGTACTTATATACACACAAAGTGAATACAAATTTATATGTATAGTGAACGCTGTAGCCATAAGTAAAATATATGTACAATTAGCACCATAAAAGTAACGCATATATGTACACTTCGCATGCGTCATGACCTTTGATTAAAGCAGACTTTAATAGAACAGAAAACTTTATGGAACAATAAGGCACATAAAATATGAAATTTTCTAAGATTTTAAAGCCTCGATTCGATAATAACTTATGTACATAATCTAAGGCAAATGTAAAAAAAATCCAATATAGAAGGCACATTTTAAATAAAAGGTTGCAGTTTGTCCACATATTTACGTAATCAGCCGTATATTAATTGCATTGCCAAGAATCTAGTGTATAAAAACAACAAATCAAATTGCCTCTTCTGTACAAAACTAAGTAGGTTATTTCACTATCAAAGAATGTGTCCATATACAACAACCTACAAATTGTCTTTGCTAAGCACCAGTACCCACATATAAGGGACTTATGCTGAAATTAATGTAATCTTTAACCTTAAGTCAGAAGGCAAATATTTTTAAAAATCAATACACATATCTTTCTTACATTATGAAATTTCTTATTTATTAAGCTAATTTTGCTAAACATAATTTAAATTGCGAGTTTTCAAAACTAACCCTCACAAAACATTGACGTGAAGAAACCTAGTTTATCTAGACAATTCAAATGGTAATTCTAAAATAGAAATTAAGCTCAGGTTACAAAATCAAAAGTTGCCATTATAAACTAATTCCATTCAACACTTTTATTTGTATAAAGTAGACTATCCATAAAGCATTTAAAATAAAAATAAAATGTTATGACTAACTAGTCCTAAAAAAAAGTTAACATTCTTTGCTGAAATTGAAGTTTAAAACACACACAAAACACAATGTTAAACTTGTTTCCGTGCGCATTGGTAAGCAACATGACGTTTCTCTTTCAACCTGTTTTAGATTTATTTATATATCATAGTCTTTTAGTGTACCGATGGTGTCCAGTTAATAATCCTTCTGTTGGATAACTGAGCTGCGACTGTGTCCTAATGAGTACCTAGCATTTGTCGTAGTAGGCTGACGCTTGCATCGATGCCGTCGTCATCCCGGGGGCGGAGCCATAAAAATAGGACGGTTTCCGGTCACATGGTGCGTGTCCAGGGTATTGCTGACCTTGAAGTCGTAGTGCTAATGAGGAGAAAAAAAAATAAGCAAAAATTAAAATAAATTAGGTGTTAGAAGATATTGGGTTTTATAAAATCAATCGTAAATTTGTATGATGTTGTGAAAGTGTCATGTGCCGATTCAAGTTTTTATTTCTCTTCTTCATGTCATTTGATGTTACGTCGTTAGATTCTACAGTAGTGCTTCCTTCCAATGAACTTCCGCTTTAAACATTGTAATAACTACGATAGCGAGACGCGTTTTAATATTTTGTTCTGGGGCTAATATTTTATTATTTTTAACAGCTGTTTTAGTAATTCCATTTTTTAAATATATACACAGATTAAGCAATGACGTTTTTTCAAACTTTCTATTTTAAAAATTTCTTATAACTGATTGTTAACGGTCTATGGGGCAAGTGAAGTAGATTTCACTTGTTTCTGTGACCTCGGCATATGAAGAGATATGCACTATGCCCAGCCGCCTTTACTTTCCCTAAAGTGAATTAGGTACCCATCAGAGTTAGTCTTAATATGGATGATCAGGAAAAGGTAAGGGATTTGGGGGGGGGGGGGTCGAGATTAGAACCCCCCTTTTGCCAATCTTTTAAGATCATTACGGCAAGGCAGTTTCAAATTTAGCCCGTTTCGAGTTAAACATAATGACCGACCACTATATAACCTGAGCTCATTCATAAAAGGTCCCCTGTCATTGTTCTAGGGCCAAAACGTGAAATATTTAGTTACACATTTTAAAAAACATCAAAAGATTCGATAGTAAATAAAACTATACAATTATTAAACTTAAGCTTAAACAATTGTGAAATGCTAATATTGTGGTATTATTTAACACCACGTATAGGCCTACTAAATTATTTAAAAGTTATTTAGACTATTAATAATATATTTTATTCTTTTTTCCACACCGTTAATATTTTACAAAGTATATAATTTAAAATATTTAACCATGACGAATACAAATTTTTTATTTGTTCTTTATTTTCCTATTGGGCCAGCACTATTTATAGATTTATTTTCATTAATGAGTTGATGCTAGCAAGAAATTAGTAGTAATTGAAAATATACAATTACTTATATATAATTTTAAAATGTCACAAAGTACTTCATTTACTTTTTAGAAAACCCATTTTGTTTTAAGTTTTTTTTTTGTAAAAACATAAGGGCATTCCAGGTTTTCAATTCAATTCATAGTTTAAAAAATATAATAATCAATAAGTATACCAAAAATGGAACGATTAAAACAAAATTCAGTATGTGCACTAAGTCTTATTTTATAAGTTTCAAAAGAGCGTCTTAATGTCAGAACAGTAAACAAAAGTGTAGGTGTCACTATCATGAAAGTTGTTTTATGCATATATATATATATATATATATATATATTTAACCTGACATATGCAGATATGTTAATTACTTATACAACTCTAATAACTGTATTACTTTATAGATAAATCTACCAGGTCCCCAGCTTGCTGAAGTAAGTGAAGTAAGGTTTATTTTACTGACATTTCTCCTTTTTTTCTTTTGCATGAGAAGTAATTTTTCTTGTTCGCTTAACGTTAATTTTTATCATCAGCTTGTGCGGACAGAGATTTACATTAATTATACATCTTTTTTTCTGACACGTACTTTAAATTTTTTTTATTAATAATGGTCTTTTTAAAAAATAATTGCCCCATGCATTACAGCGACAGTTTATCTTGCTATGTGTACACTTCAGTATTACAGTTTTCATCATCCGCTTGTGAGGACCGATACAGATTTACAATAGTAATACTTCTTTCTGACATGTACTTTCATTTATATATAGATTGTTTACTGATACAAAGATCTTATACAAAACGTCTAATTACAGTTTTATTTTTAAACCTGAAAATGCTAATGTGTAATTAAATGGTGATGAAGGGAATTTTTTTTAATCGGCATGGTGGGTAGAGGGGGTTTAGCTCATACGTAGTGCTAAAATAAATTTGGGATTAAAGAAAAATAACATTATAAATTCAGCAACCTAAATGATATGTTAAGTACAATGAAACACATGAAATCAAACATTCTTCATTTTCAAACATCTATATCTATAGCAGTCCTCCAACAGTTTTTAAACAAAAAAATTTAAAATAAATTATTTTAATTTTATAGATTCTAAATTCTAAATAGTGTTTTTTATTTATTTTTATTTTATTTTTTTATAGATCCTAAATAGTAATATTTTATTTTGCAGTATTTTTTTGTACAACGACGACGTCGATGGCAAATTTATAATAAAAAACTGAGATTACTTATTTGAAAACATTAAATCTAAAATATTGCTATAGCTTTTCAAATTCAAATACAATCCATTTTAAGTCTTACTGAAAAGAAAGTAGAAAAGTGAAATATCTAATTTGTTAAGAAATATTTTTTTAAAAATATCATTATTCAATAAAATAAAGATGTTTATTTTATTTAATTTTTTAAACGTAATTATTTCTTGTTTTTGGTTGTGTTCATTTAATCTCTTATCGTTTCCCCTAGTTCAACTGTAGATAACTATATGGGAGATAATTCCTTGCTTTCTTAAATAAATAAATTACTTGTGTCTTTCCTATAGCGGCATACATTCTCACAATGGATAAAGATTTCAAACTATGATTTTTTAATCGGGAGAGGGAGTTATTATTAGGATTATGTGTATTTAAAGTATAAAATATTATTGGTTCGTCTTTTCTAAATTCAGCACAGAGTTAAGGATGCTCCCCTGCTTACATTAGCCGAGGTAAACAAGATATAGATTTCGGTCACTCGTCTACAAATCCTTACAATTTATTGAGCCGGCTGTTTTATTTATACGCTCTTCTATAGAATAAAGTTACACTTTTTGAGCGGTCCATTGGGCAGATTATGGTTTATCTGTTTCTGTGTTCTCGACATCTGAAGTATAGTATATTCAGTACTTTACTCAACATTCTCTACTTTCCATGATTCAGGACCCATCAGAGCTGGTTGAAATCAGGGACATCCTACAAATTCGTGGCCGGGAACCGAACTCAATTCTTTCGAGTTGGCAGGCAAGCGCTCTATAATCCTACCACACCGTCCCCAACCTCCTTTAGGTAGAAAACATAAAATAATATTTATAGAGATGACTGTAGACGGCATACAGTGGTATCATAGCGAGCAGGAGAGATTCGTTCACCGAGACTTTTGAACAATCTTTTAAAATATTATATTCGCCTTACACCGAAACTTGTGAACAAACTTTTAAAATGTTATATTCGCTCCACAATGAAACGCTATTATTTACAGTTATTTTAAACAGTAGTGTATTATTATTTTTTCAAAGATAATCATTCATTTTCTCCTTTTTTTGTTCATTATTACATAAAAGCTTGTTATTAAAACGTTTTTTATGAAATAAAAAAAAATTCTTTTTGTTTGTATCAAAAGTATTGCTTTTAGAAAAGTTGGTTAAGCCCACTATTCTCTAACGTGTTATTTATTGGGGGGGGGGGGGGGTGATGTGGGAGGGGAGGGGTGATGTAACACTTGCTTTTTATGGTGGGGGTGAACAGCTAGACATAGGGATAGTTGTATATAGAACCGCCAAGTGAGGTATAGTATTACACTTTTGTATTTTAATGTTTTCCATTCAGTGTACGATCCATATGGTACCATACGGTAGAACAACGTCGACACCACACACTGACCGCGGTTAGTTTTCGTGAGCTCCTTGCTTGTTATGATGTCCAAGACACTGTTGTATTACACCCATTAAACATTAACTGGGAAAACAACAAACTGCCATCACGGAGCACATACACGCCCTAAAGGTTAAAGACACAGCACGGCGTTAGGGTACACACACACAGGCATTGAGCACCAAGACGTGTCAACTACACCACCCCCACCAGCACCACAGATAAATTTAACGGAACCTGCCGGACTACGGTTCGCGATTGACCCCTCCATCTGTTGTGAGACAGAGCCAACACTAAGACAAACTTAACCCCCCCCCCCCCCATCTATACTAAGTACCGCTAGGAATTTTCTGTTTACACACGACTAATAACTCTTCCAACTCCAGAAACTGAGTTATCCCCCAATCCCATTAGCTTTACCTAAGTAGTCGCCCTTTTCCAGAAACAACAATCAATTGTCCGAAAATTATTGACCATCACTGTTTACACACCCATTCAGATCTTCCCGGAAACCCCCCACCCTATCTCCCCTACTGTCTCCCCTTTTTTCTTCTCCCACCCTCCCACCCATTTTTCTCCCCACCCCCCTACTCCCACCACCTACAGCTTGATGAAACCGCTGGTAGAAATAAAAAAAAAAAACCCGTTCCTCAAATCATTGAAAATTTTTTCGTGGCATTTCCGCTTATAGAAATCAGCTCTCCGATTGGCAATCTGGTCACATCCGGTTGCCTTCTACCACCGCGTGTTTCCTCGCGACGTCTGCCGACAGAATGAGCAAACTGGAGAGTATTACCCGGCTTGGGTTCGCAGCTGAGCACGATCCACGCTAAACAGTCCGAGGCGAGTGAGCGATTTTCCCATACCGTGCCGGTCCAGACGACATTAGGGAACGCGCGAGGGAAAATATCAGAAGGTCGAAGTTTGAGGGACAAATGAGCCCCACGTGGGGGCGGCAGACCCCCACAACGTTACATGTGCTCGCCAGAGTAGCGGCAGGCAAGATGAACTCGACCCGCATGAAATGAATAGTCGGGGAGAGAAGAAGAAAAAAAGCCCCCACTTCGATTCCCCATCGATGTGCCTTATGAGAGCTAATTGAACGCGAGACGCGCAACGCCCTCTCACCACACTCCACACTTGCGTGTCTCGCGAACAACGGTATGTCTTATTTTCATTGAAGTTTTGACGCTCCTATTGTAAATAGCAATGTCAACATTGGATTTCGTGGCGTTTCGGCTATATTTAACCCACGTCATGGCCAATTCTACACATGCATGTTAGGATGTGTTTACAACCTTAGCAAGTCGTCCGAAATAGTTTTCTCTTT